GTTAAAATGATGGATTATGAATCCTAGGTGTATAATCAATGGAAAAATTGGAATATAAAGTAATGGGTTAATAAGTTTGATTTCTTTTCTTGAAATTTCAATATTTTCTTAAAACCCTAGGTTGATTAATGATGATAACCAATGATTTGGCCCAAATTGAAAGTAGAATAATGAAATTGAGATATTGAATTATATATGTACAAGTTTAATTGGAATTTGGAAATGTTTGAAAATTATGTTTAAAATTTGCCAATGAACTTTGTTATGCACGTTGTAATTCATGTTATAATGTAAAGGAAAATTTGGGAAAATAATCTATTAAGAATATGGATGACATGAACTCGGTTGTGGAATGTTGAAATGGGATTCAAGGATTTAGTTTGAATTATGTTAAACTGCAAATTGATGTGTAATTTGGTATAAAGGGAATTAAACAAGTTAAGAACGGAATAATTATATGTGACTCGATTTCTATGTGTATTATGAATTGTGTAGAGTCAGCTGCAGGGGCGGACCAAGCATCTGAACACTGTGAGTAGTAGTACGGTAGTCGCACATTCAATGATCGTTAATGATTCTTGTTGTTAACATTTTATTCCTTGCAAGTATGTTGATTGGAAAATCGAAAGGCATTATTGCGCAATACATTTTATTTATTATTGACAAAGAATACTAACATTATGTGCAAGATATCTATAATGATTCATGACGAACCAAGGGAATGTATAAGCACTATGGAATCATGGTATTCACATATCTCTGATATCATTCAATCTATACAACACGCTTACCTTTTGTTAATAATTATCAGGAATGTCTTGTTAGACTTAAGTTAACTAAGTTAACTCATGTGATTGATGTAACGATTACCATTAGTACTCTGTTAATTACAAGTCACCTATGTTAACATATACGAACAATCAAACAAAGGTGTATGCTTCTATGTGCTATTAATAGATCAAGTAAACTACGCCGTTTCTTAAGGAATAAAGAGAAATTATGTTCATTCTTGAAGAACGGATTTTGAGTAAATATGAGACAGTTATAGGTTATCAAGGGTAGACACCTTCGAGGAATCAGAATAATTGGAAAGCTATGTGTATTCGCATGAATGAGAAATTATTCAGAACCCACAACATAAGGGCGAAAGTTTAACATGTTTATGTAACCCTCATGAGAATGTGAATTATTTTTATCTTTGTTAAGCGTACGATAATAACATGATATGACAAGAAATGCCCTATTTCCTAACATGTTACGTTTTGAATCATTGAATGATTGTTCATTCATATAAAGGTATTTAAGGTATCCTTAGTGCAAGGCCCTTACCCAGGGGTAATAATACCTTGGTTCATGTATGTTACAAGTTCACGTATGTTCCAAGTTTAAGTCTGATACAAGCTCACGTATGTTACAAGTTTAAGTCTGATACAAGTTTACGTATGTTACACGTTTAAGTCTGATACAAGTTTACGTATGATACAAGCTCACGTCTGTTACAAGTTTACGTATGTTACAAGTTCACGTATGTTACAAGTTCTTAGTACCGTGGGATTCCTTTATGGAACTAACAAGAATGATTTATATTGACCTGTTAGCACTATTGAAGTGCCAGGTATAATTAAGTATGAATCTTGATTTTTGTTTATGATTTAAGCATGATGCATATGTATGAATTTGTTTCCGTTTATGATATGACATGATATGTATGGTTGGTCTATAAAACCTGTTAATTACTAGTATGGAACAAAGTGCTACTTGGAACTAAGTGCTACATGGTGAGCCATCTCTAGAGTCCATGTGAGACACCTCTTGAGTCCATACATATAGCTAGGCTTATAACCAATCTGGGCCTATGGCCATTCTATATGATCTATTAGGCTAGAGGCCATTCTGTATTTTCGGTATGGAGCAAAGTGCTGTACGGAACTAAGTGCTACAATGCGAGTCACCTCTAGAATCCGTACGAGCCACTTTCTGAGTCCATACATATGTGCAAGTTATGAGGCCTATGGCCATTCTGTATAAGTTGTTATAATATGAAATAAAGTGCTACACGAAACTAAGTACTACGATGTGAGTCACCTCTAGAGTCCGTGTGAGACACCTCTTGAATTCATACAAATAAGTTCAAGGGCTATATGCCAACAAGGGCTTTATGCCAACATGTTTAAAGGCTTCATGCCATAAGTTCAAGGGCTATATGCCAACATGTTTAAAAGTTTAATGCTACTATATTCAAGGACTTTATGCCACTCTGTTCAAGGGCTTCAAGCAGATGTGTTTCAAGATATTATGTTTCAAGCCATTATGTTTCAGGACTGGGCCTAAGCCGTTATGAAATGAGTACAGAATCAATTAACCTCATGCCCTCTTATTTATGTATGCATTGAAATATATTATAATTCAAGTTGAATATTGAATTGTTATGTACTATTATTCACTGAGCTTCACTCACTTTGTGTTATGTCTATTCTGTAGGTAAGCACTTTGGGAGTCCGTCTTAACCCTTGATGCTTACCCGTCAATTGTCAACCCCAGTATGCCCAGGCTCCCAGATCGAGCCCATGCATTTACGTGAAGTTTTGTTAAAATTTTAGCTTGCACTTTAATTATTTACCTAAGGTGAAAGTGTATGTATTTGACTCATTTCTTTACCAATGTTCGGTTATACGCACCATTATGTGTATGGGTATGTATTTAGATAAATGGCTCTTATGTATGTGATCCTGGCATGTTAGTTTTAGCTCAATGGATGTTATTTTATGTTACTTTGTAATATTAAATGCTTCCGTTCAGGCCCCATATATTATTTACATCAGGTTAAGTGTCCGTTTCTGCATAGGTCATGCCCGAACTTTTAGGGGCGAGTTTGAGGCGTGACACTTATCCTTTGCAGAGTCTCTGCTGGGTGCACTGCACAAGCTTACCGACTATTTTGTTATGTTTTTTTTGGTTGAAAAATTTAAAAAGATATTTTAAAAAAGAAAGGAAAAAGAATATAAAATTATATGAAATGTAGATATATTTTAGGGTCATTTACATACAAGTCTCATTTTGTGAACTTATAATCCATTAAGTCCTAGATAAAATTATGTGCTCCTTCAAGTCTCATTAATTTTTAGTAGACCAATTTACCATTCCCTCACCCTTCCTTGACTCAAGTCCCAGATAGATGGCACCGAAGGCTTGGGGGAGGACGAGGAGGCCAGAGAGGCTGAGGGCATCAGAGGGGTCGTGGAGAAGGAATCGAGAGCGATTTGAGAGATTGGAGTCGCTGGATTTGGAGGAGTGCTTCGAGAGGAGCCCAGAGAAGTGAGACGCCACCACAGGGTCGTCGAAGAGGTCTTCGCCGCCAATCAGATCGCAGGGGTCGAAACGGAGAGGTGTTTCCACATGGAATGACAGTCTGCATAGCCTCATTACCCTGAAGGCCAGCGAGTGCGCCACCTGCGTACTGCTCATCTCTCTCTCTCTCTGTGCTTCGAATACTGTTTGAATTGAATTGAAGCTACATATACATACAAAGAGCTCTCTCTCTTTCACTGTTTTTATATAGACGTCAATTAGGGTTTCAAGAATTTCCAAATTAGCCTAGTTTGGTTTGATTTAAAAATAATTTTAATTTTTTGGCTAGAACATTGCTCCTGTGGATTATAGATGGAACCAAAATAGATGCCACTGCCATTAGAGAGAGAGAGAGAGAGAGAGAGAGTTTTTTGAAATTGAGAACTTTCTCAGTTTATAATATTCTCAATTTCAATCATGAAAAAATTGAAAATTTTCTCAAAATTGATAATTATAAATTTCTTAGTTTTGATAATATTTTTAGTTCATACTAGAAAAAAAAAATTGAGAAATTTCTTTGTTTTGATAATTAAATATTGAGAACATTCTCGGTTTTGAAATTAAGAACATTCTCAATTTTGGGATTAAAAAGAAAAACGTCTTTTTACATGTAAATGGGACTTATTGGTTCAAAAACTTTTTGACAGGACCTAAGCTACCACAAAATATGTAGATAAGACTTTTAGGTAATTAATCCTATATTTTATTAATATTTTACTTATATTTTTCTTTTTCTTTTCAAATCTCTTTCCAAATTCTCTAACCAAACACAACACAAGGATGCAATTTGGGCAGCATAACTCGAGCAATTTGATTTCAATCTCAACTTTTTTAAGATTTCAATAAGAATTGAAAGATTTAAATAAAATTTGGACAGATTTAAATAAATACATAATACGAGTCTCAAATTATGAATATATATAAATATTAAATATACATATCAATGGTTAGTCAGTGGATAATGTTGAAGTAATTTAGAGATTTAAATGATATTGAAGGTATATTATATACACATATAATATAACACAAAATCTTACTCTTTTTTTCTTTCCCACTTATAAATTGTAAAAACCACCATAACAGTACATTGATTCTTCAATTTTTATTTCGCTCACATTATATATATTATTTTTTCTGTTATTAATGATTCTATAAAAAAATGTAACTAACGTATAATTTCACAAATTAATTAAATTGGTTGTAAAAAGTAAAAAAAAACTCAAATTTATATGTAATTGGAATAATTCGGACCTAATTCGAATTGGGCTTGAACAAACAACCTCAAATTATAATTCAAGTTTGGATGAGCTTAGACAGCTCTTGACACAATTCAGACTGGACTTGAACAATCTCTCAACTCGCCCGAATCCCCTTGCATTTCATCCCTGCTATTTTGTCTCTCTCTGCGGTAAAATCCACATTATTATGGTTTGAAGTTGGACCAATGGCCCTTTTGCTCTTTTCTCAGCCCAATGTTGAGGCCTTTTGCACTATTTTCGGCCCACTGATGCTGTCATCCTCATGAATATGGCCCAAAAAATAGCCCATTAATAGAATGGGCCAATTTGTCATTCTACAACCCAATGATATAATTTCGGTCCATTATTAACTAATGCCCACTCTGCTATTAATGGCTCGTCGATCTTCACTGTAACCGTCTCCAGAGACATCTATATAAAATGGCCTTGACTTTACGCCACGTTGCTCTTCTCTCTCCTCCCACTACAACTCTCGCGACTCGCCTCCTACGAACAACGCCACTCTCACTCTCCACCTCTCGCACTACCAAGCTCTTCTCTGGTTCGGCCATGGCGTCCTCTACTCGAAAGGTACAAAAAAAAATTGGCTTCTTCTCCATATTTTCAGAGTTTTGATCAGCAATTGAGGCCATTTGTTTGGTGAACTTTTGGATTTGGTGTGTTTTTTAGGTTTTGGTTCCGATTGCGAACGGGACGGAGCCGATGGAGGCGGTGATAACGATCGATATACTGCGGCGCGGCGGCGCTGACGTTACGGTGGCCTCCGTCGAGAAGCAGCTTCGCGTCGATGCTTGTCATGGAATGAAGATTGTTGCCGATGCCCTAATTTCGGACTGTTCTGACACCGTCTTTGATCTCATCTCTCTTCCTGTACTCTCTCTCTCTCTAAGTGCATTAAAGTTATTGTTTTTGTTTGTTCTGTTACTTGTGTATAATTTTGGCTGCGATTAAAGTATCTTCATTAGTCTCTTCTCAAATTCAATTTTGTTGTTTGTTGTTTACTGCATTCTTAAGATTGTTGCTTTATTGTCAATTATTTGATTTGTAAGGTTATTTTTTTTTTTTAAACTTGCTTGAATTTTATTATTTTTCTACCACCATGTACTTGCAGTACAGTCTTGACTCTTGTTTCCAGTCCAGTGGACCGTTCAGATTGGTCTCGTGGCAGCCGTGTGCCCCTATCTGATTTGTTCATTTTGTAGTTCATGTGTTTAATCATCCATAAAAGACCAAAAATCAAATTAATTCGATAATCATCGCACATGATTTTATCACGTTGTTTTCAAAAAAAAGGATGACAAGTATGATTTTAAAAGTAGACGGTTTGTTTTTTTAACACAAACAAATATGGTTGTATTGTGGTTACAATTAGCAGATCAACCTAATTATTTTTATGGATGAGCTATACATAGGGACTATAAAAAGAAAAAAATCAGATCCTAGGAATGGGACTTGTCGTGAACCCATGGGCCCTGGACTGGTCTGGCAGGTCTATCCACTTTGGTTGAGTGGGGACAAACCTTACCCTTTTCGATTTAGTTTTGGTCATAGCTGTTTTTGGAACGTTATTGAGTGCCATACTTTGTTAACGCTGTTTTTTTGTTTTTTGTTTTGTTTTGTTTTTTTATTTTTTATAAATTCAATTGTAAGCTCCTAGTTGGTTGCCTAATTTGTCAATCTTTTGAGTGCATCTTAGTGATTTCATCATGTGGTTTCTCTTCCTTTTTCAGTTGTTGTTGTGTTCTGATCTGGTTGTTCTGTTGGATTATGTTAATGAATTAGTGTTTGTGATAGCAAAACGCATCACCTTATTTGTTGCGCAGCTGTACATTTTTGGAATCCCATATATATATACCTGAAAATCGTACAAATGAAAATAAAGAAGAATGTAGTGTTTGTTAATATTCTTTGTCTATTGTTTTATAATGATTAACAAACTAGTATTTCCTTTGAAAATTTTGGTTCTTTCATTGTATAGGGTGGAATGCCTGGTGCTGCCTCTTTTAGAGATTGTAAAATTTTGGAAAGCATAGTGAAAAAGCAAGCGGAAGATGGACGGTTCTATGCTGCAATATGTGCAGCTCCTGCCGTGGCACTTGGATCATGGGGTTTGTTGAAGGAGAAAAAAGTAAGAATTTGGTCACTATGTATTGTTAGTATTTAAACTGTGGTGTTCATGCTGCACTTGTGATGACGTTGATGATGAAGATATCTGTACTTCACAAAATATTGGTTTTGACAGGCAACGTGCTATCCATCTTTTATGGAGCAACTATCATCTGCTGCAACCACAGTTGAATCAATAGTGCAGCAGGATGGAAAAGTTGTGACAAGTCGTGGGCCTGGCACTGCCATGGAGTTCTCCGTTGCACTGGTTGAGCAATTATTTGGGAAAGATAAAGCCAATGAAGTATCTGGGCCATTGGTATGTTCTTATGTTTTCTAGTTTTATTGTTTGCTTATGTTATTCCATAGGAAGTGAGGACCTGGAATATGGTGTAATTTCTGTTGTAAACAAGGTAATATGTGTGAATGAATACAATTATACATGATTACTATTTTTGTTTTGTAATGCCATTCAGAGGAGTTGACTGCACAAAAATATGTTTATGGTAAACACGGAATTTGAAAGCAGAAAAGGCAATACATACTGATTTTTACTTTTAATTAGTAGTTTTCTCTCTGAAATTTATCAGTTTATTGACATGAAAGGATCCTGATACATTACTTGCTTACTCAAGTTACGGGGTACATTAAACTTAGCAGACACCAGCCTTTTGTCTTAATATGTGCCTGATACATTTTTTCTTTCTTGTTTGCTTTCCTATGTTTGGTTTAGTTTTGTGAAAGCTCTAGTTCTTATCTTGGTCAACATTCAATATGCTTGCTCAACTTTTGGAAATCAAATCCTAAATAACTAATCCAGATTTCACTTGTTACAACCGAACAGCTGTTCATGTCACAACCCATTTTGCATGCTGTTTTAACTCTTAAGCCTCCAATCATCAATCATATTTTATTGTAAAAATTATAATTGCCTACTAGTTAGAGTATGCTTCTTCAGTATTGATCTTCATATCATAAGCTGAACATTTGCCACAATTGTTTGACTGATTCTTAGTGATTGAAAACCAAGTCTTCAAGGAAATTATTTTATTTGCTACTTTGAACATTGATTCACGTGGATAACTTGAGGACTTTGCTGTCATGGTTACTCTGTTGTTTCTGTTTTCCTTTTTCAGTATAATGCTTTCTTAGAAAAGAAATATTGTAGCACTTGAGTTGTTTGTTATTTTGTATTCAGGTGATGCGTCCTAATCATGGAGATGAATATACAGTGCTTGAGCTAAACCCAATGGAGTGGACATTTGACAACTGTCCAAAGGTGACAATTGGCTGAGATTCTTTCTCAAATATGTTGACTTTGTTTTTATCATTCTCTCTCATTTGCTGGTCTGTTAGCTTTAGCTGTTGATGAAATAATTTACAACTATTCTCTCTCTAATGTGCACACATTCACCTTCATGTATGGCTGTAAATTTGTAGGAGCTAACGTTGTGATCAGTTTTGTCTTTCTTGTCTCTCTTGAAGAATTCATTTGATGTAGTCAAGTTGATGTAAGACCCATCAGAAGATGATAAATTTGATAGATAGTTTTAAGTGATTAGTATTGTCTTTATATTTAGGACTTTTTAGTGGCTTTAGTAATAAGATATTAGGTGTTTCAAAACATTTGTTATGGATTTCATAAAACTATTAACCATTTTGCCTCTTTCCAAAACACTTTTATCCCAATTCCAATAATAACTAGTGCCTATGGGGCTCACTTGTCAGCATTTGCCTTTAATATTTCTGATGTACACTATTTTTTCTAATCTTATCTACCATAATAAATGGTATACAATGAAAATCTTACATCTAAGTAAGAAATTAAAAAAATTTACTTACATCTCCTGAAGAAAAAATATTGGGTCCACCAGTGGTCATCTCAGCCTTTTCCTTCTTTCTATGCTTCTGTAAGTGTGATTATACATGTTAAAACCTGAAGTGGCCAAGCCCATGTATGTTCTCTTTTTTCTTTTTCTTGTTCTTTTTTTTTTTTTATATGTAAAAAGTACATCATTAAAAGCGTATATTATTAATAATGGCACCAAGGGGGTGCAACTCATGTACCCAAAAAAGAAAAGAAAAAAGAAACTACAAAATCCAAAATTTGAGTCAAGGATAGATTGACCACCCGCGCCTTCTCTCCATCCCCTTTTGCCTTATCCAAATACATTTCTGATTTGTGTACATATGCGGTATGAGTATCATTATTCCTAATGGTAACAACACCCTGCCTTGTTTATTAGTACAATCATTGCTATTTCCTGTGAAGATTTCCTGTCTTCCACTAATGCTTTGCAGTTGCCTGGTAATGATCACTTTAAATTAACATTAACATAGTTTTCCACGTGCTGTTCTTTTTCTGTTTAAACACTAAAATCTGGCCTGACTAATGATTATTGCTATGCTTTCACCAAATTGTGAGAATTTGATAAAAAAACATAGATTTATGAACTTGATGTATGAATTTGCTTCCTTTCAGATTCTTGTACCTGTTGCTGATGGCACTGAGGAAATGGAAGCTACTATGATCATTGATGTTCTCCGACGGGCAAAAGCAGAAGTTGTGGTGGCTTCTGTGGGAGAGAAACTAGAAATCATGACTTCTCGAAAAGTGAAACTAGTTGCAGACATGCTTCTTGAAGAGGCTGCCAAGCTCTCATATGATCTTATCGTGCTGCCGGTAAGTTGGATTCAGTTATCTTTATTTATTGATATCCTTGTGGACACATTAGCTTAATCACATTCTGTATGTGCGCACATTGGGCAGGGTGGACTTGGTGGTGCCCAAGCATTTGCTGACTCAGAAAAACTGGTAAGCTTGCTAATGAAGCAGAATGAAGCTAATAGACCTTACGGGGCGATCTGTGCATCCCCAGCTCTGGTATTGGAGCCTCATGGCTTACTCAAGGTATTTACCGTCTAGATGAGCTATGTTTACTTGATAGAACAGTACCAGAATATACAGGGTATGTTTGGTTTGTGTTTGAGAGATGTGTTTTAGAGATAAAAAGTACGAAAAGTTGTTTGGCTTGGTTTTTTTCAAAAGATGTTTTGGAAAATTATTTTGAGAGAGAGTTTTGGAAAAAGTGATTGATTTGATGTGTGTGAGAGAGAGATTTGTTTGGAAAACTTGTTTGGTTTACAAGTTTTGAGAAATTTTTTTAGGAAAAATTTGTTTGGTTTGATTACTTTTAAAAACTTATTTATAGAGAAAATTTCCCAAAATTTTTTCAAAAATACAAACCAAACGAACCCACAATTTCTTGTCTTTAGAAAATCCTGCCTTATAAACTCCAATTTATTACATGCGATTTATAGCTTATTAATTGCTAGCAAACTTTACAATCTCAAATGACTTCATAAGACATGTTGCGTAAATTCATCATGGGATTTATTTCAAATAGCTATTTCCTTTCCTTACCATTTTATCCTATTTTTAGGATACACTCCATTTGGTTCAAAAGATGAACAGTTAGAAATACAGGCCCGTGCATTTTCTACTGCAGAAAATATTTTCCTATGTTCTACGACCTGGAAACTAATGTCCTAAGTTTGTGGTACTGGCAGTGAGGTGCTTAGTGATGGTAGGGGATGTTGGCAAGAGCTAAGTCCGGAAAATGTTTTCCAACTTTCAATAGTGGAAATTGTTTTCTACCAAATTGTTTTCGGTTTACTGTAGAAAACATTTTCTTTCAGACTTTTGTTTTCGGTCATATCAAATGCTAGAAAATGTAGAAAATTTTTTCAGCCGAAACAAACAATGATGGTGTTTGGGAAGTGAGTTTTTATGTAGATTTTAGTAGATGTAGGTTTTTATGAGATAAAAAAGTTTTGGTGTTTGGGAAGATAGTTGGATTTTTATGTGGTTGGATGTGATGTTTGTGAGAGAAAAAGTGAAATGATTATGGGGTTGGATGTGATATTTTGTTTGGATGTGTTTTTTTTGGTTTTGCAAAACTTTTGTCTTTTAGTGGAAAAAATGAGAAAAAAATTTGGGATATGGCTTCCCAAACACCACCAATGTAAATTTTTGGAACATTTTTCTTTTTGAGTTGTTCCAAGTACAGAGGCCTCGTTTGGGAACAGGCTAATTTAGTAACTTTTTGACTATTTGGCTAAAAAGGTAGGTAAAAAAAACTTGTATGTTTGGGATAACTTTTTGGCTAATTACGAAAAGATGTGCAAAAAGTAGAGAGAAAAGAGAATCTTTGACTTTTTAGTATGAGTTGTTGGCTTTTTGGCTAATTTAGTAACTTTTTGACTAATTGACTAAAAAAGTAAGTCCCCAAAGGGGGCCTAATTTCCATACTAAACATATTTGTTTTAGTTTTGACACTGTATTATGTTTTGGTCCATGTCCAGGGTAAGAAGGCCACAGCTTTCCCAGCAATGTGCAACAAGCTATCAGACCAGAGTGCAGTTGAAAACAGGGTGGTAGTTGACGGCAATCTCATCACCAGCAGAGGGCCAGGAACCTCCATGGAGTTCTCACTGGCCATCGTGGAGAAGCTATTCGGGCGCAAGAAAGCGCTTGAGCTTGCAAAGACAATGGTTTTTGTTCGGCCATAGATCTTGTACCCAAGTGTGTTTTCCTTTTCCCCTTGCACCTATGAACTTGCTTCCAGGGACTAATGTGAAAGTTGGATCCATATCTTAATATATGTATCAAAGTTTGCGGGTCTTGTACAGAAGTTTATATATATATATATATAAATGAGTTGAGGACTGGACTGCATATTTAAACTATCCACCCTTCACCTTTTTTGGGCCAGAATTTTGAATTTACAGTAGCAATTGGTTTTAGACGGAGTACTGAAAAAACTGTGATTGGGTAATTTCATCATTCACTGTAGGGGCAAGGTTGGGTTGAGAAAATGATAATTTGGACCTTCACATGTTATCACCCACCAAAATTATAAAGCAATACTGAAAGACCTATATTGTAATATCACTTATAGAGGACCAAAGAGAAGATTAGATTGCCCTGTTTGGGTTCTGGTTCCTCTTGATAATTTGATTTGTTCATGTTAGGATTTGTTCATTTTTTAAACCCAATCATTTTACTAGTTTGATATTAAGGCTTATTTTGAGAAGTCACAATTTTAATTAAAAAGTTATTACAAAAAAATCAATTAATTAATTAATTTATTTATTTTTGCATGTCAAAAGATTTTGATAAATTTAAAATTGGGTAGCAAAGAAAGAAAAGAAAAAAGAAAATGCTAAATTAACAATCTTAATAGCTTTAGCTAACTTCCAATGAGAAAGAAAGCAATAACTTTATCTAATGAATAAGTTTTTGATGTAGAAATAAGAATAAATTTATTTGTTAAATTAAAATTGAAGGTATTTATAATAATAATAAAAAAAAAAAAGAGAAGAAGATTAAAACTTGAAAACAATTCTATTTAGCATGCTCATCTTCCTCTATTTAAGATTTCTAAATAATATTAGATTTTAAAAGTAAATGTTCAATTGGAATTTTTTATTTATTGGAAACTATAATTAATTAATACCATCTTCGATGGTTCTTTTTTACTGATCTAACTCAAAACTAAATTTTTTATCAAATTGAGGATAGATGTACCTTTTATCAAATTACTATGTTGAACGTTCATCGCTGAATGTCCCCCAGAGGTCTTCGAATGACCATTTCAAGGTAAAAATTTCATTGATCGGATATCCGCCTGATCAACTTGTGTTATGATAAAATCATAAAAATTTATGTGGAAACATTTATATCATATAGAACTTTTAAGGCCTCGTTTGGGAATCCTCATTTTTAGTCAAAAAGTCAAAAAGTTACTAAATTAGCCAAAAAGTCAACAACTCATACAAAAAAGTCAAAAATTCTTTTTTTTCTCTACTTTTTGCACATCTTTTCGTAAAAAGTCAAAAAGTCATTCCAAACATACTAGTTTTTTTTAACTCATATTTTAACTAAATAGTCAAAAAATTACTAAATTAGCTTGTTCCCAAACGAGGGCTTATTCAAATTTATAAAAAAACAAAAGATGAACAGTTAGAAATACAGGCCCGTGCGATGCGATTCACACGTGTTGACAGAAGGACAAGCAGATATTTATGTGATTTTCTGAAATTACAAGGGCATCTGACGAAATATCTGTCTATATAAACCCTAACCAAAACCCTCATCTCTGTCTCACTCTCTATCCACGCTCAGGGTTAGGGTTTTGCTGAGGTATAAAAAATGGCGACTCGCTTCTTCACTCGCTCTCTCCTCACAACCAAACAAACCATCTCTTCGGTCCTCTCTCGCTCCTACATCTCTATTTCTCTCTATACTCCATCTTCTCTCTCTACTCCTTCCTCTATCCTCCGCCTCCGCCCTCTCGTCGCTGTCTCCGCCCACTTCCGCCGCCTCTCTCCGGCGGCGTCTTCCATCCGAGGGTTCTCCACTCGCCAGACCTCGTCGTCTCTCAACGATCCGAACCCTAACTGGTCCAATCGTCCCCCGAAGGAGACGATACTGCTCGATGGTTGCGATTTCGAGCACTGGCTTGTTGTTGTGGAGAAACCTGAGGGTGAACCCACCAGAGACGAGATCATCGATAGCTACATCAAAACCCTAGCTAAAGTTGTTGGGAGGTTTGAATTTTATTCTCAAGCTTTTCGTTTTTTCTTATGTTACGTGTACTATAGGAATAAGATTTTCAATAATGAATTATCTGTTTTCTTGTTTTTCACAAAAATGCCCCTCTTCTTACTAGGAAAGTATGAGAAATGTGAAAAATGCTATTTGGTTGTATTTTTGGTAATACTCGTACGCTCTTTGCTCGAAAGATGTACGTTTTTATTGCAGAGAACTTGCAGGAAAATAGAACACTAGATAGTTAATTGTTCCTTTAGTCCTTTTGCGTTGTTATATAAGATGGAGTTCTGATTAAGTTGTGTTGAGAAACGAGGCTTTTGGTTTATGAAATATTAAGCAGAAATATTCTCTTTTTAACCCATAATTGGAAGTGAGAGATTGGCATGAGTTAGTGATACAAATGAGTTATTTGTTAGTTAGTTCTGCATGTTTATGAATTTGTGTTACTTGTTCTAGTGCAATTAATGTATTTTTTTTTTTTCAATTATGAAACGATATCTTTACTTATCGTCTATATGCCATCCTAGTGTTTAAGATGTTTTTCCTTAGGTAAAAAGTGATATGCTATAATGGTACCAAAAATTTGTTTTTTATTTAAAATTTGTATTGGGTTTATGCATATTATATTTTGCAGTGAGGAGGAAGCAAGGATGAAAATCTATTCAGTCTCAACTAGACACTATTTTGCATTTGGAGCCCTTGTATCTGAAGAAGTTTCATACAAAATCAAAGGTACTTACTGACACATTTCGTGTTTTGTTTTTGCATTTGATATTTGGTATGCAAGTTCTAAGAACACCTTCTTAAATATTATGCAGAATTGCCAGGGGTTCGTTGGGTGCTTCCTGACTCTTACTTGGATGTTAGGAATAAAGATTATGGAGGTATGATATTTTCTTGTTCCATGAGGAGGCATCTGGAAATACCATAAATTAAAGAACACGTCATTGAAGCTAGACATTTCAATCAAATTTTAACTTCTCTAAATATAAAAATATATGGTAGGCTAAACATATATGATTCATTCATAAATACATTTGTGGCAGTTATGGTGATAAACTGGGTTATATTTGGTGTGCAGTGGAAATTGAAAACTACCAAGTAGATGTTTTCATATGAAACCCAATTTTAACATAGGGTATGTGCCTAAGGCTTTGGGGATAGTTGGTCAGTATGTCATATCCACGCTTTAAGAGTTGATTGGTTTGACGCTATAAATCAAATTCTATTGTACTTGACTGAATGTAAGCCTAGAACAATAGATTTTAAGATAACTAGGTCCATGGCCCTTTTCCTGTCTAATCTCTTTCTACATTCCTGTCTTCTGTCAGTTAACAAACTATTGTACTTGTATCTCACTCTCACTAATCTTCTTTTGGCATTCTTATATCTTCCAAGGCATTCAAATTGAATCAGATCAACTTTCTGTGGCATTTAGTCTCTTCTAGCATAGCCATGAGTTTGGGGAAGTTTAGTGGATTTCATTTTTTAGATATTCTATGTTAAACATTTAGATTTAGTAGATCCTCTATGAACAAATCTGGTTAGAGCGAAAGGGTAGGCATTTTTTCTTGTCGGTGTTATGTCATTTTATTTTCTAAGAAGAATTTAGGTGAAAATTTGTAATTAAAGATAAACCAGACTAAGACTTGTACTTGTTAGTGGATGTATGGATTCTGGTTCTGGCCCTTTAGAGTGTACAGGATCCACCCCTTAAGTTTTAGTAATATACTTTTACTATCTAATAAAAAAGATCAAGTCAAAAACTTTAAATTTATGATATGAAATAAGGAATTCAGTGTTATTACGTTACATCCATGTGGCTCTCAATGTGTGTAACAGATTTTTCAGTTTTTTATCTTTTGGGTCAACCAATAAGTTGGTGATTATAATATGAAAACAGCTTTTCAAGCACTAAACAGTGGCTTTTTCTCAAGAAAAAAGTGTTTGCATTCCGCTGCATGCAATTGATCACTTGCCATATGAAATTTTCTTCTGTTTGTGGCAGGGGAGCCTTTCATTAATGGACAAGCTGTACCTTATGACCCCAAGTACCACGAGGAATGGGTGAGAAACAATGCTCGGGCAAATGATAGAAATAGGCGCAATGACAGACCTCGTAACTTTGACAGATCAAGAAACTTTGAAAGGAGGAGAGAGAATATGCAGAATCGAGATTTCCAGAACCCTGGATCCAACATGGGGCCACCTGGATCCAACATGGGACCACCACCCAATATGGGACCAATGCCCCCCAATAACATGGGAGGTGGCCAGCCCAATATGGGTGGGATGCCACCTAATAACATGGGAGGCATGCAGCAGCAAAACATGGGACGAATGCCTCCAAATAATATGGGAATGCCACCAAACAATATGGGGAGACAGCGGTGATTCTCCTACTTCTCTGATCTCCTTCTGCTTTTCCTCTTTTTGATCCTCCTTCTGATATTTTTCTCATCAATCTGGCCATCACCCCCTTACCTTCTCCACCCTTGAGTCCAACACTTTAAAATTTGACTTCCTACATGGGAAGAATGCCGCCGCCAAACAACATGGGAGGACCGCCCAATAACGCACCAAATTTCCAATATGGGGGTGGACCTAACAATGTAGGCATGCCTTTCCAAAACCGGGAAATGCCTGGTCCGGGACAAAACAGAGAATACCAGCATAACTATGCTCCAAACACATCAGGCGGAAACCCTTACCAGACCCAGGATATGCCTGGAAGAGATATGCCCCCACCACCAAATTATCAATAGAGGCACGCTGTAGATATCCAAGTATGAAGTATTATATTTTGTTTTAATCGCTTTGAAGGTGGCTAGAAAACTTGTGGATGTTATTATGGTTCAATGCTAGACTTTTAAGAACTGGTTGGATGTGCAAATAAGATTGTATGATTTCTTATGGCATGATTTCAAATAGTTCTTCACATTGTTTCAAACCTGCTTCTTGTTTCGTTCACAGCATCTGTGCTCTTGGTAGTTTGTATAAACGATTGGTTGGTTGTGCATTTTTGTTATATATGTGCAGGAATCAGCTAGGGGTTGTATTCTTGAGTAGTTACAAAATTGCCTGAAATCATTGTGTCCAAACCAATGAATGCATGGAAGAACCGTTTGAAGCAGTGCCAGTCCTTGATAAATGGCTTTTGGATCCTAACTGAAACACTGAACCTACTTTCGTTGCTCATTGCTTGGTTAATGATGAATTGTTAAATGAGGTTTTTTCTCTTCTTTTTGGTGACGTTGCAGTGGCTGTATTGAATCCTACGATTGTGTCCTAGTCTTTAGCTGTTCTCCGCTGTTTGTGTTCTCCTTTTTTAATTTTTCTGTTTGATTTTGGCTTCTCTGGTAGCGCCTAGTTAAAGAATGCTGAAACCAATTCAAGAGTGCATGATTAGATATCAGCATTAGAGCATAGCATCTCCAAGGGAATAGTTAAACAAGACTTGTTAGGCATTTTTAGTTAAACAAGACTTGATAGGCATTTTAATCAATGTAAATCTAATTTTGAGTTTAAATGGGTTAGCTATTTTACTATTCTATTTTTTTGGTGGCTACAATTGAAGAGTCCCAGAGGCTCTTCAAATAATTTTGCATATATATATTTTAGATTTTTGTATATTTATGTCTTATATTTGGGATTTTATATATATGTGTGTGTAGTAATTTTATATGTAATTTTGCATATATATATTTTAGATTTTTGTATATTTATGTCTTATATTTGGGATTTTATATATATGTGTGTGTAGTAATTTTATATGTTTTTCAATTCTGTTGATAAATTATGGAATAACTTATTTTGTATTTTATATTTTTTTCTCCTTATTTTACAAGTTTTGTATATTTGTATGGGCAAATTTATTATTATTACAAATTTATATTAGTAAAATATTAACAATTAGTATTTTTTTATTTTAAAAAATTAATTAAGTTAGTTTAAATGATTAGTTAAAATAAAGAGCGTGGTTGGAGAACACAATAACTAAAGTAATTAAGTAAAATAAAGAGTATTTTTTTTGTACTTTACCTAGTGAATAGTAGAGAGTGTGGTTAGAGTTGTTCTTAGAAGGCAAAGCCCCACTCAATTGAGGGTGGACATCTCCTTCGCTCTTCATTTAATATTTGATCCCCCAGTACTCATTTCACTGGTTATGTGGCCAGTACATGTGGTCTTCTCAAAAAAAATTGTAATGCCGTTATTTGATGTGTTTATACTTATAATTTTAAACTTACAAATTCACGTATAATGATGTGTTGAGAGAGTTGGGTTTTATATCAACAAATCGAAAGATTGTTATTTATCATGTCATGTCATTGCGCAGTTTTTTGTGGGTTTTAAACATTTTATATTTGATAATTCATGGCGTGTAACAGATTAAGACATAAAAGTGAAGGCCTCAAAGATATGGGACAAAATGAAACAATTTGAATAGTTTAAAGAGTTAATTATTAAAATTGATAGCTCGGGATTAAAGTGATAAATGTGATAATTTGGTGGCACAAAGTGAAAATTTTCCCTTTTTTTTTTTTGTTTTTCCCCAATGTGACAGAAAACTTTCAGTTGAGTTGGTGAATGGGTGAAGAGTTGATATTTGCAGTCAATGCTAAGATTTGAAGGCCACAAAACAGACAACTAATCCAAATTCAAATGCTAAAGTGTCTCTGTAAGTAACCATCATCATCGTTCTCACTAATTTTAATGCATATGAGAGGGAAGAAATGCTGCACTGGAATATTTCCAGGAAATTTTCTTCACGGCACCAAGCAAAATTGGGCCCCATTGTAAGATACTTTGACTGATTTTTTTACTTCTATCGCGCTAAATGGTTCTATCAAACTTTTCTCTATGCCTTTAGGAAGAACAATGTACAGACAATGGAAAAAGAGTAAGTACAAAAGTGAAGGCAAATAGAGGAAGAACCAAAGTACTACTAATGCTCCATTTGATTGCTGAGAAGACATAGGAGAACAATTGTTAATTTGGAATATTACAATGAGTCAAGATAATTAGTGGCCGTAAAATCTCGAAATTGCTTTCTTTTCCATAAAGTTTTTGTTGAACCAAAAAATTACACAATGACTACTACAAGCAAAAGAACAGGAATAGAATCACTTGCTCTCCATGCATCTTTTTTTTGCTGTTGCAGCCATTTAGGAGAAGCTAAGTTCACCCTGCTGATCCCTCACTGGATGAGTAAAGAGATGACGATGTTTGCAAACTCTCCCTTGCCCCACATTCTACTCTTTTGTTCCTGGCAGCTCGGATCTGATCTGCAAGTGAAACTTCTCTTCGTGTATGTTCCCTCTTAATAAACTCCAAATCTAATTTCTCCCAAGCTCGTTGATCTTCGCAGGTGATTTGACCATTTGTTAATGACTTCCTTTTATGAATCTACAGATAAGAAGAAATCAACATCAATTGAATAGTAGAAATTGTATCGATATAAAAGAACCAAGATACCAGCCTAATTTATGGGATACATCACTAAGTGCCCATATGCCAACTCCCGTCATCAGAATATTTTTCCTACCAATTTCATTATCAAATTAAAACAAGGGATTGATTGGCACACTTCTCGCCAATGAAAGATTCCGCCAAAGCCAATCACATGGAAATTATCCAATAAATAACTAATTTTCCCCAGTACTGCACTTTTGATATGAAGAAACAATCTTATATATTATTTAGAAGTGTCATTGAATCAGCCTGTTTTGCAGCCAAGGACTGACAGTTAAATGGGTTAACAAGCACCAACAAAACTCATCCACTCGTGTTGTGTCAAACTTGTTAAAATTTACCATCACCTACCACACACTTACCATCACCTACCACACACTCACCTACTACACTCACCTACCACCACCATCCACTACACCTACATCTATATAAGGAACCATTTGTAATAGACAGAACATCAACAATACATCAATCAATAATACATCAGTTTTTTTTACATGGTATCAGAGCAATAAGATTTAGGCCTATATTCCTTTTTTTCCGGCGGGCAGTCGGCTGGCACCCATGCCTTTGCTGCCCGCTGGAATTTTCAACACCTCCACAGAGTATGGCTCAATCCCAAGCTTACTTCCATCAAACACAGAAGTTCCAATTGCCACGGATAGCCCACCAAAATACCACCACCTTCTTCAACCCTTCCTGTCCGAACCGGCCTCCTCTCCTTCACTTCTCTCGCCGACAACGTCAAGTGGCGCTAAAGAGAATAGAGAACAAGATCAATCGGCCAGTGACTTTCTCGAAAAGGCGTTTTGGGTTGCTGAAGAACGCTCACGAGATCTCTGTCCTTTGCGACGCCGATATCGGTCTCATCATCTTCTCCGCCAAAGGCAAGCTCTTCGACTAAGGCCTAGTTTGGGAAGACTAAATAAGTGCACTTTTTGACTTTTTATGAAATATGGGTTGGGTTTGGGTTGGGTTTGAAGTGATGTATTAGAGAGATGATGTGACTTAAATAAGATGATGTGACTTAAATAGGATAGTGACTTTTTGACTTTTTGTCTTTTTTCAATCTTCCCAAACTAGGCCTAAGTAATAACATGGAGGGTAAAATGAACACTTCACAAAATAATCCCATGGGATACCAATCCCATGGTTTCTATTCCAACTCCCCCATGGGATAGAATAGTCCCATATTTGTATGACTATTAGTCCGGAGCAAAAAAAATAAAACAAACAATGGACTATTAGTCCGGTGGGACTAATAGTCTAATCCCACCCCCTAATCCTTCAAAACATACACAACCTAAGGGTATTCCTAAGTTCATGTGGATGTTACCATAGGATCTCACCTTAGTTAATCTCTCCTTGAGTTTTAACCGTTGAGCAATGGCTAACTCTTCTTTTTCTTCCTCTGATTTTCTGTGTCTCTCTCTCTTCATTTCTCCTCTAGCTTTTGCCTGCTGTTCCTGCTCTTTTCTCTTCTGAGCAAGCCTTCCCATCTTTACTATTTTCGCCTGTGCCGCTCGTATTTTTTCCATTTCCTTTGCCTTCGCTTGGTCTGCTGCCCATTGACGCTGTTGAAAAGCTATTTCTTCTTTTATCTTGTCATAGCTATCCCATTGTAGTTCTTGTTCGTCACTCCCACCTTTCTTAGCAGCTTCTGCTATGCTTTCGGCCCATGATGACAAGAATTTCGCCTTTGACTTCTTCCATTTCAATCGCTCACCCCATAATTGTTTGAGTGAAGAGCGTATTTTTGCCTTGGTCTGCTCACTGCAAGAGAAACATGTTTGAATTTCATGTCTTGGAAAACCTTATCTTGCATGTTAGTGTATTTGGCACCTAAATCATCTGCACTACACTCAATAAGACCCGGTGATACTTCCTAACCATGTTGACCATTAACCCAAACTAAGTCTTATGTCCCAATCAAGTAGGAACAGCTACATGAATAATTTTTTCACCATTTTACTTTGTCAAGGCTATATGCTCAATTTAAAATACAATTACGGGAAAAATCATTAAACTTGAGTTGTGGCTTCAAACCTAAGGAAGTCTGATGTAGGACGAGTAGGGATTACTTTTCTACAAGTAGTGAGCCTGGTTTAAATATACTGGCAGCAGCAATAATAGACTTATAGGCTAGATTTCGTGGGATTTTGTGACTACAAAGTATTTAAAAAATAGGAGTTTAAGGGTTTATAAAAAGGTAGGGTTTTGGGAATGAAAACAGGAGTGTTTAAGGGCTGATAGGTGACTACTCTAAGTACTGTGAACAGTAATCTTGTTGGATAGAAGAAGAGGGGAGAGAGAGAGAGAGAGAGGTGCTTCACCTTCATAAGGAATAGGCCAATCACACAAACACAATCTCAAATTTTCATAATATTAATTATGCTACTCAATCATTGAGTTACACATATATTTATAGGTTAAAGATTCTCCTAATTTTATAAGGACTATATTTCATATTTAGAAACTAAAAATATTTAGGCCAAGTTTGGGAAGACTAAATAAGTGCACTTTTTGTCTTTTTGGACTAAAAAATTGAGATTGAAAATATGGATGTTTGGGTTAACTTTTTGACTTTTTATGGAAAAATGTGTAATAAAAAATTGTAAAAATTGGTTTGTAGAGGAAAATTTGAATTGGGAGTTGTGCAGCCGTAATTGTTGACTTTTGGTGAATAGTGTTAACTTTTTAACTTTTTGAGTAACTTTTTGACTTTTTGGCTTATTTGGGACTTCCCAAACTTAGCCTTAGTAACTACTAATATTCTAGACCAACTATGACTTCTAATTCTACTTAAATCATAATAGAAAACTTTAATGACTTCTAATTCTACTTCAATATCAAAATAGGAAACTTAGATTTTTTACCACTAAAATTATTTTAGACATAATAAAACTCATATATAAGACCCATTTAATAACTTGACCCAAAATAAAACTCATGAGTGACCCCTACAACCCATGTCCAACAATGATTGGAATTACCATTATACCCTTAGTTACTAAAACGTACTATAATGACATGAAGACTCAAAATTATTCCAAATCTTTAATTCTTGATATCCTAATGTGTTTCATGTGAAATTCCAGATTTGTTCTTTTTCTTCTTTCCATGATCTTCATCATTCTCCCCTGCATTCGAAAAAACTCGACCTCGAGTTTTATAATGTTGAAGGATTGCAACAATTCAAATTTATTGTTTTAAATGAATGATGAGAAAATTAAAAAGTTCAATGTTGTCATCACTCCATTAATCATATCGAATTTATTAGGAATAATAAACTCAATGTGAATTTCATTTTTCTTGTCACGAGCAGAAAGTTTAGTTGCATTTTCATCATTTTCTATGGCTTCCTTGGCTTTAGAAACTTGATCATGACAATCTTTCATTCTTTCTTTAGTAAGCAAATTAATTTTTGCCTTCGTTTCCTCAATATCCTCAATATTAGCAACATGTTCATCTTGCTTTTTCATAGTTTCTTCAAAATCTTCTACACTATCAACCTTTTGCTCTTGGATACTAGTCTTCTGTAAAACAGCAGCCAACAATCCTTCTATGGAAGCTTTCAATCCATTCAAAGTTGTTTCGATAGTATGCACATCACTCTTTATTGTTGCAACATCCTCCTTAATTATCGAAAAATCCTTCTTTAACATCGCAACATCTTTGTTATTAGCTCTATAATTTGTTGAAAAGGTTTCAAACTTCCAATTTAATTCAATGCTTGTCAACATTGTAATAAAGAAAGCAATTTCATCAAAAGATTGGTGAAGAACAAGGTAGGATCTTGAAACTATGATACCAAACTAATGTAGGACGGGTAGGGATTACTTTCCTACAAGTAGTGAGCCCAGTTTAAATATACTGGCAGTAGCAACAATAGACTTATAGGGCTGGATTTTGTGAGATTTTGTGACTGCAAAAGTATTTAAAAAATAGGAGTTTAAGGGTTTATAAAAGGGTAGGGTTTTGAGAATGAAAACACTAGTGTTTAGAGGCTGTTGGGTGGCTGTTCTAAGCTAACATGAACAATAATCTTGTTGGATAGAAGGAGAAGAGAGGGAGAGAGAGAGGGAGAGGTGCTTCACCCTCACAAGGGATAGGCCAATCACACAAACACAATCTCAAATTTTCATAATATTAACTCTGCTCCTCAATCATTGAGTTACACACATATTTATAGGCTAAAGACTCTCCTAATTCTATAAGGACTATAATTCAAATTTAGAAACTAAAAATATTTAGCAACTACTAATATACTAGATCAACTATGACTTCCAATTCTACTTAAATCATAATAGGAAACTTTAATGACTTCTAATTCTACTTCAATATCAAAATAGGAAACTTAGATTTTTGACCACTAAAATTATTTTAGACATAATAAAATTCATATATAAGACCCATTTAATAACTTGACCCAAAATAAAACCCATGGGGGACCCCTACAACCCATGTCCAACAATTATTAGAATTACTATTATACCCATAATTACTAAAACCTACTATAATTATATGAAGACTCAAAATTATTCCAAATCTTTAATTCTTGATAACCTAAATGTGCTTCGTGTGAAATTCCAAATTCGCTCTATTTCTTCTTTCCATGATCTTCATCACAGTAACTTTATGCAAATATTTTCAAGGTTAGGTCTCTACCCAATTATCCTTTCCAGATCTGCATGGCTCCATCCAATGGGGACTAAACTGGATGTAGTTTTTACTCTTGAGACGTCTAGAATTTCCGGATTGTATCTCACTTCACTCTTTTAAAAATTTTGACATAAACTCATATTTTGAAGCCTTAGGGTTAGGGTTAAGTGGTCAACCCACCAAGTGTAACTCCAGCCTCTACCTTTTAGCTGCCTATGGCATCATGCAGATACGCATTTTACGGTTTTTTAATTAATAGAAGTAAAATAAAGTGATGCAGATGCATGTTTGTTTTGATAATTAACTGAGGATAACAAAGCATACTTTAGAGTGCGGGGGCATTCGGACATCTTTTTTCTAACCTGAATGAGGCAGAAAAAAATTAATTAGAGATAATGCAGATGTAGTGATAAAATGCCTAAGATCAAATACCGAAGATTGAAGGAGTGACAAGGAAAAAGGACTTCTGTCAAATGGCGGTAACAATGTAAACAAGCTCAAATTACAAAGACTCCACAGAAACTGAAACCACAATTTATAAGAACTAAATTATTTAGCTTTTTCACCTACTTTTTTAACTGTGCCCATATGGCCCAAAATCTTAAAGGGAAAAAATACTAAAAACCTGACTGATTCTTACATGACTTCACCTTGGGGTCCATCATGGCTTCTTTTGTTCTCTGTCTGATTCGTTCACAAGTCTCTGCAAATATAAAATGGTGAATTCAAAATTGCAGTCACAACCAGGTTCAATCTCTGAAAGAATACAAAAACCGAAAGAAATTACCTGCGCTATGTTTCTTGCCTTTGTTCCACGGCACTCTTCCTTTGTTTGCCTGTCCGATCTTTCTTCTTCTATGGCTCTCCTTCTGATCATCATCTATCACGCTTTCTGCAGAGTTGGAACAACTATCCAATTGAACCTTGTCAGTCAAAGTTTGCTCCTCAGACGAAATGATGCTAAGTTTTAGCTCACAACATTCCCCAAGGTCAAAAGTCTCTTTTATGTCAACAACATTCAAAGCTCGAGCAGCATGCACTGTTGTAGAGGAACTAACGAGGCCAAATGAGGGATATTTGTTCTTCACAAGAGATGCTCGATAACTTGACTGTTTCGTGCTTGCTTGAAATTTAGTGCAGTAGACTATATAATATAACAGTGGTGACAAAGGGGTGTTATGCAAACGATTGATGGGAAGGGAAGGAACAGACAATCTCCTGGAAGAAATTCGAACGAGTAAATTATAATAAACTTCTTTAGGAAGATGCAATTATCTTGATGGTCAGATTAACAAAAAATTATTGTTCTACTATCTATTTGCCTATCAGTATAACTCTATACACAGTAGGAAACAAAAAATTAATAAAGGCTATAATTCTATTAGGCATGTAATTAGAATTAACCAACCTCAACCATACAATGTTTTGCACATAAAAGGTACGGAGGAAAAAATAAAAATCAACAGTTGCATTATGCATTATGCTTTTTAAGATTCAACTTTGACAGCGTAAATCAAAATAACCCAGCATCGAAAATAAGGAAAATTTAAAAACAATATACTGCAGAATTATTCTCTCAAATTTAGTTTCTCTACCATTCCAAATTCCCAAAATGGGGTTTATTATACAGTATTAATTAGATACAATTTCCATGTTCTGCACAGCAAATTACAGATAAAACTAGCAAACCCTAATGATTGGCATTGAAATTTCGAATTTTTAAACCTTTCACGAGAGTCCCAAGCTACAACTCCAATCCCAAACTCAACACTACAATCCTTGTATGTATACGGTAGTATATATACAAACAACCCACATACATAGATAATATACAGAGAGAGAGAGAGAGAGAGAGAGAGAGAGAGAGAGCGAGCGAGCTTACAAGTGAGAGAATGGCATTTCAGAGACGATGAGAGAGAAAGAGGAGCAGTGCTCATATCATATTTCTTTTGCACCAGACGTTGCTGATGGCTTATTCGTTAAGCGAGAGTGCCTATGGCGCGTATCAAATACTACACAATTATAATGGGCCGGGCCTTGCTACCCAAAAGCCCAACTCTTCTCACTACTAAAAGTTTAAATTTATTCTAAATTAAGGGATTGTGTAGAATGTTCTAAATAAATGTAAGGCCAAGTTTGGAATGCTGTGAAAAAGTTAAAAAGTCAAAAAGTTATCAAAAAAGTTAAAAAGTCATCCTACTTTCATGTTTTGGGCATCCAAAATTGTGTGTGACCTACGGAGGGTAAAAATACTATTATGCCCCTGTTTTTTTTATTCCTTCCTCAACCCTTTTAACCTCTCACCCGAAGATCCCCTTCTCTCTCTCTGTGTGTGTGTGTGTATGTGTGTGTATCAGTCGAGTTCTGCCGAGATAGCCACAAAAGGGGACAATCCGTCTGCGGAGATATCCACACCAGCGACGCCTGAGATCCGTCGCAGCCTTCACCGTCCAGCACCGCAACAGCCGTGGGGAAGTCCGACCTCGACTCGATCGCAACTTAACAGCAACCGACGACTGTCGGACAATCCGTCGCCCAGATCTGCATCACTTCCGACCAGATCTACACCACGCTGGCCGGTTTCTCCCTAACTACAAGGTAACATCTCTTCCACGCAAATTAATTTTCTTACTCTCGCTCTCCTTTCTCTGATTTTGTTCCAAAACTTTCTCTTTTCTACCTCTCTTCTCTTATCTGTAACACCGAAACCCTCTCTTCTCTGTACCGAAACCCTCTATGAATCTGGAACCCAAACCAGATCTACAGATCTGGTTGTAAGATGTTCATTTCGGTTTGGCGATCTGTTTCACGATCTAAGCATCTCTCCACGATTTCAGTTCGAAGTTCACAATCAGTTGAACCCTCTGTCTCTAAAGATGAACAAGACCAACTTCAGGGAAGACGATGACGTTGTTGTTGTGATTGTTGTGTGTCTACGGATTGTTATTGCAATTTTTTATTTTTGTTATGAATTTTTTTTTTCTATTTCATAGAGTTTTGCTGGAAACGATGCGGGTGGGAGAAATGGAACAAAGAAAACTACTGGGATACTGATCTGCAAATTTTGTTATTGTTTAGTAAAAATGCATTCCTTTATAGCCCATCTGTCCAAAAAATAAAGTACAGCTACTTCAAAAAAATGACACTGATCCTTCTGGGTCTTGGTTGGGCACATTTTTATCTTATGGAAATTTTGGAATCATATTTTGAAAAACGACCTACCATCTTTAATATATTTGTTTTTATGGAGAAGCTTTTCTAATTGAATTTGGTTTTCTGCCATGGAATGTGATATTCATACTTGAGATATTTGTTTAAATGCACTCTTCATTGCAACGCAAATCCTATATTAAGGGGTTGGAGTGGCATATAAATTGTTTTGAGCATTCATTGATGTCATTTGTGAAGAGATAATGGTCCATTGACAATTGCCAGGGAACATTCTTTAGGGTTCCTTTGGTAAAGTTGTTCTGTAATGTCCTCTATCACCTTCTAGTTTTACAGACAAGTTCATTATCTAATAGATATTTTGAGGAAGTTTCGGATTAGCATACAATTGTTAGTGTTCATTGATTTCATTTGTGAAGAGATCTCATTGACCAGGGTGCATGCTCTAGGATTTATGTTGTAAAGTTGTTTCTGTATTGTCCACTATGTTGCTTTTTAATTACACAGATGAGTTCGTTCTGTGGTACACATTTTGAGGAAATCATTGGAGACCTGTAGTGTGAGCCGACGAAAAAAACAATAACAATGTTCTAAGACGGTTGTATTGGAGGCTTGTGTTACACAGTTGTTTATATGTTTTTTATTTTATTCGCATTATGAGTTTCAATGTCTTCAATTTTTCCATGTATACCATAATTGTTGTTGCATTGTAGTACGCAAATGGAGCAGTCCCAAACGCAGTCAACGCCTTCCAAAGCTTTGCGCAAACGCGGTAGTAAACAGACGCAACAGCAGTCCACAAACGTGCATAAAGCATCTTGGGACTCTGACACGGTGCGGATTTTTTTGGAACTTGTTATCAAAGAGTTGGACGTTGGTTTCAAGGGGAGCTTCCATACAATGACAATGCATGGATATCGAGCTATAAGCAAGGGCTTTCTGGAACGTACAAATAAGGTGCATGATGTCAAGCAACTGCAGAACAAGTACGCGTTGCTGAAAAAGGATTGGCAGTCATGGTCGAAATTGATGAACAGCAGGCATGGGCCAACCGGCATCAGTTACAATGAAGCCACGGGTTTGATACAAGCATCTGACGACTGGTGGGCACATTACAAAAAGGTAACATTTCCATTGAGTTTTACGACTCAATCAATTCGGTTTCCAATTTCAGTCAGTCAGTTCAGTACTTTAATCAGTTCAATTATCAGTCATAATCAATTCAGTTTAACGGTAATCGATGGTTATCGGTAATCAATCAGTCATAAGTCGGTAAACAGTATGAGGGTTGTTACATACTTAAACCGTTAGTATTGTCAATGCTTAAGCTTATTTTCAATGGCGCGTTGTGTAGATTATTACGTACACCCTAGTTTTTTTAGTTGTGTCTAAACATAAATAATTGTGACATTTCGTACTGTGTCTCTAATTTAGCCTTGTGGATGTAGCCCACCACCATTGGAATCTCTAATTCATGTTATTATATGTACATAATAATTTAAGAAATAAAATTAGTACATGAAACTTGATTAGAACCTTAAACTAATAACATTTTGGACTGGGAGTAGAGTATTATTTACCACTATCATGGAAATAATATAAAGAAAGAATACATCTTTTCTTTATCCTAATTTTTTTCCCCATTAGATTATTAACATTATTATTTTTCCATTATGCTTACTTAATTTGATAAATTACAAAATGGTTGATAAATGTGAATGATTCTTTGCTTTTTGGGAGGTCACAAAGAAGAACAAAAACTACTATTACACATCATCCTTTATTGGGACAAAAAAGTTAAGTGTTACTACATCTAGAACCATAGTCTCATATTTCAAACCACTATAATCATCTCTTGCCTTACATGATTATATCTAAGCCATATATTTAACTTACTACTCACTTTCTCTCCAAAATCCACTGAATTACAAAGTACAACATTTCACTCACATTTTTTTCCCCCTCTTTCTAAGTTACTTCTCTAAATTAATAATCTAAACACAATCTTAATACTTGTAAGAAACTTTAGACAAAATACTCGAACGACTCCCTCATAAGGTAGCCTATAAAATAAAATAATAAGTTAATCCGTTGGTTACGAGTTTATGTACCTTAATAAGAAGTTACAATTCATATCTCCTTATCAGCATAGAGGCCTTTCTTTTTGTATTTCTTTGAAATTTTTTTTGACCCGTACGTGTTGTTTGTTTATTACCTTGTATCTCCATTTCAATTTTTTACATAATATTTGTAATGGGGTCTAACTTCTCTGTTAACTGAAGAGAAGATTGAGCCATCTAGTTGGTTCTGTTGAGCCCACTACAGCCTTCAAATTCATAATTCAAACCGTTGCTCCTTTGAATCCGCTGTATGTAAATTATTAATAAAAATATTATTCACCCAATAATAGTACTCATTTTGACCCAATAAAAGGTATGCTTTCGAAAATATATTATTTATTTCTTTAAGACAAACATAATGAAATTATGTGACTGTCTAGTTCAATTTATTTTTTATTTTAATAAATAATCTACAAATATAAGTCCACAAAATGAACAAAATAGATCATCCAAATAGGTTGGTTATGGGCTACATTATCTGTTTCTTTAACACAAACATATTGAAATTATGTGACTACCGAATCAATCTATTTTTTATTTTAATAAATAATCTACAAATAACCGTTATTATGTACGTCATTTACATGGATACATAAGCCTATTTCTTTGCTGCCTGTGTTTGCTCCCCATTATTCTCTGTTTCACTATCTGACATGAAGTTCTTCCGATGGGTTTTTGGTTGTTTTTCCCAGGTTGACAAGAATGCAATCAAGTTCAAAACAAAACCGTTGGAGCACATGGACCTCATGCGAAGGGTGTACGAAGGCGCTACAGCAACCGGAAAATATGCATGGACACCAGGTGCAGCGTTCGAACCTGTGGCACCCGATGACGGTACTTCGCAGGCGCCTGACGAAGACTGCGAGGACAGCAGTGGGCTGTCCCATTTCTAGCCTGCCGCGCAGCATGAACACACTGTGCAGCACACTGTTGCGCAAGAGGATGGCACGCCGGCAACTGTGCACGCTGCGTCGTCGGGAATTAACGCTGACGACACACCAACTAGTGGCATGAACAAACGCAAATCGCCAGGCCCAACACACCCACAGCGGAAAAAGAGGGCAGAGTGAGGGAGCTTCTCTGTTGGCGAGTAGTATGGAAAACCTTGCATCCTCCGTGAAATTACAACAACAACAAATCCGCGTCTCACATGATTACGCAGATTCAGCACAATACCTAATTCAGAAGTGTATGACACGGTTGTATTCGCTGGAAGGGCTGGATCTGCAAGACCCGCTAGTTCCTTTTGCTCAATCGGTACTTGACAACCTTGCAAATCAAGCCATAATGATGTCGATTCCTATAGACACGGCTGTCATTGCTTGGTTGCGAACGAAGAAGTCCCGTGAGCAATGCATTGGTGGCCCATCAGCAGCAAATCCCGGAATGGGTGGTGGCTGGTTCTGAGATTTTCCAGCAAATAATTTGTGTTTCCTTATTAATGTTTGTGTGTTGCTTCTATATTAATGTTTGGGTGGTGGCTGGTAATGAATATTGATGTAATGTTTCTTATGTAATGTTTGTGTGCTGCCTTTTGTTTTTCTCCCCCTTGGAACAAACAGTTGGGCAAATATCCTTCATTCCCAAAACGATGGCATTGTTGGTCGAATTTTTCGGACATTATCAGTTGATAATATTTGTGTGATGATGTTGATGTTGTAGTATATGCTTGTTGCTGCCAAATAGGTTTTTTATCATTTATTTTTGATGAAACATAAATACATTATCTATAGACCATTTTGGATGAGTTCATTTTTGGTCACTTCAGTGATGGTGATGACAAATACATTCTATCGGCCCTTTTGGATGAGTTCATTTTTGGTGGTTCGGACCACTTTGTCAATCTGATCCATCTATAATTTGTTAAATTAATAACAAAAATTTTAAAATCAATCAGATATAATTTTATCACACGAGGTGAGATTCACCTTCACCTTTCTTGCTAGAGAGTTGTAAAGTTCGTATTAAAATCTATCATATTACAAAGTGAAAAAGTAAAATTTTAAATCTCAGTTAAAATTATTCAAATCAAATACATAATGTAATGGTTTGAAATTGTGAAAACGTAATATTTGAGATCTTAATCAAAATTAATCAAATCAAATATAATATACTAGTTTCAAATCAGTTTGAGTAATTTTTTTATTCCTTTTGATTAGGCGAGGAAACAACCTCCATAAACACAAGTCACTAGTTTTGGTAGGAAGTGCACGAAATTAGTTGATTACACATCAGGTTACTTTTTTAAAAAATTAAATTAAAATAACGAAAATTTTTATACATATTAATAATTAAATTTATAATTTTTAGGGTCGTCCCGAAAAATAAAAACAAGACTTTTAGGGACAATTTTTAAAAGGTTATTAATAAATAGATTTTTTGGGACAAAATAATTTGGTCTAAAAAAATTTTACTTTTTGAGACACAAAATTTGGTCAAAAAATGGTAATAATTTATCACTAATTTCCAATTTTTGTTGTTAAAAATATAAGGACGATATTCGAACCGTTGTTTTGTTTTTATCTATTTATTTATATTATAATGAATACTCCATTTTTATTAAACTGGGTGATGAAAAAATGACAAGTGAGGATTGGTTTTTGTTTTTCTTACATGTTTTGTCAGCCCAGCACACAGTTTCATATACACCAATAATTTGGTATCTATTACCAAAAAGAAGAGAACCCATTTTTGTTGAAGCCCCCAATAATTTGTGTGTTGCCCAATTTGCATGGACACCACGTGAAGTTGTTGAAATTTTGGTCTCAACGGACCCACCACAATCTTGGTTTCAAAGAAGAGAATCCGTTTGTGTTGGTTTGTTGAAATTTTGGTTTCAAAGGTCCCACCCCAATCTTTGCGCATGCTCATCTTTGATTTCTTTATATAAGACCACAAATCAGTTGAAATTTTGGCTTCAAAGGTCTCACCACAATCTTTGCTCATCTCATCATTCATTTCTTTAGAGAACACCACAAATCAGTGTGGTTGTCTCCTTTCTTACCCTCGCCCCAATCTGCTTCTTTCATTGTCCAAAGTCGTAATAATTTTCTTGGTAGGCAGCCTCGTACTTGCGAAGTCAGATTTTGGTAAACCAGCTTGGCTCTGTATATTCTGCGTTATAGGTTCCCAAAATGGCAGACGACGCAGGTCCTAGTTACACTGTGCCCAGTAATGCAGCCCGGGAAGCTATCAATGAAATTGCACGGGAAATGGTGGTCGAAACTGATCACAACTTCCTAGAGGCATATAACAGTGTAGCTAAATATTACTACAACCATTATCACAGAGTGCCTCGAAATACATCCATACTTACAGGACGTTTATGGATGTATGAGTTGTTTAACGGTCACCAAGGCCGGTTTGAAGATGCTGTCAGCATGTCCAAACCAGTGTTCTTGATGTTATGCGACACTCTTCATAGTTTCGGATTGACACTGCCACAGCGGGAGCATGGCGTTCCGCTAGAAGAGAAGGTAACCATTTTCATTTGTGAATTGCAGGGAATGAAGATGAAAGATTTGCAAGAACGGTTCCAACACTCGAATGAGACATTGTCACGACATTTCCATGAGGTTTTGAAAGTTATGATACCGTTCACAGCGGTTCATAGTAGGAGTCTTACGCCTGAGTAAGTGCAACAGGGGGGCTACCCACAATTACAATCGCAACGGCGATACCGGCCATTCAAGGTGAGACTATTTCACATAATTTTAAATATCATAGTGGCGACATATACCATGAATTTTTATTTATATATTCTGTGTAATGGTGCGTTGTGTAGGACTGCATCGGTGCACTAGACGGCACGCACGTGATGGCTCGTGTCTCGGAAGAGTACGCCACTTCGTATTACGGCCGGAAAGGCGTCCCAACACAGAACATAGTGGCCGTATGTGACTTCGATTTGTGCTTCACGTTTGTGTCAGCCGGTTGGGACGGGAGCATGCACGACAGTAGGGTGCTGCACTACGTGACAACCGAACCTAAACATCGCTTCCCGCACCCCGCACCTGGTAAAAATATATCTTACGTAACAAAGTAGTATAATCTGAAAATAATATAAGACAAATTACACATTCGTACTTGCTATCGTAATTGAGAACTTACCAAAAATAGATAATATCATGTAAAAAAAAAAAATTGACGCAAAATTATTTTTCTCAAAGAACTTGTTTGTAAAAAAATGTTCGTTGTAGGAAAATACTACTTGGTGGATAGCGGCTACAGCAACAAGATAGGGTACCTAGCCCCATACAAGGGATATAGGTATCACCAAAATGCTCATCGAAATTGAAGACCACAAAATGAGTTTGAACTATTCAATAAGGCACATTCATCATTGCGTAGTTGTATCGAGCGGACATTCGGTGCGTGGAAGTCGAGGTGGGGGGCATTGCGGAATATTCAGAAGTTGAGTTTCTCTAATCAAGTGATCTTTGTGTGTGCGTCGATGGCGTTACATAACTTCATACGCCGAAACAGTGAAATTGATGAGGTCACAGTTCCTATCGCAAATAGCACCGAATACGTGGCTCCCGAAATGCCCGACCACGATGAATACGCACGGGTTGCGGATGTGATTGAGGAAGGGGACTCCGACCCCGCAATGACAGTTGTACGAGCGAACATTACGTACCAACTAGCCCAGCAACTGAACACGAATAATTGAAACATTAATGTTGGTTAAATTTGTAATGTGTGTAACTCAGATCCGTCGCAAGATTATTATCATGGTTTGTTAATGTGTTTTGTATTTCTAAATTTGTAATACTTCACAGCAGGAAGTTGATAAAGTTTTGTATCCAATTTTATGCTACATATGTCCAAAAAACACTATTGAAAACGAAATGAAAAGAATAAAATAAAAAAACTTGGTTGAACAACTTAGAACAGCACTGGGCATAATAAAAAAGGAAAAGAATAAAAAAAATTACCAAAAAAGCAATAAAAAAAAGAATGAAACCAAATTTGTTAAAACGAAAACAATAAAAGTGAAAAGAAAAGAATTTAAAAAAAAATTAAAAGGAAAAGAAAAAAAAAGTAATGAATAAAAAATGAAAACAATCAACAAAAATTTACACGTAAAAAGAAAAGAATGCAAAAAAATGACGAAAAAAGGAAAATAATAAACCCAAATTAATAATATTAAAAGGAAAAGAATAAAAAATAAAATATAAATGTGAAAATGAGAAGAAAAAAAAAAGGAAAAGAATGAAAAAGAAATATTCACAACAAAGGAAAAGAAAGAAAACAAAAATTATAACGAAAAGAATGGAAAAAAAAAATTGAATAAAAAAATGAAAACAAAAAAAATAATAATGGTAAAAGGACAAGTATCGACTATAGGAAGAAAAAAAAATTATGTTAAAAGGAAAAGAATTAAAAAAATACATTCTTTTAAAATGGAAAATAATAAAAAGAAAAATGTTAAGGAAAAGGAAAAAAAAAATTGACTGCAACGGAAAAAAAAATTAATGACAAAAGGAAAAGCATGATATAAGACAAATTATGAATAAAGAAAAAAAATTAGTTGCTTTGACCGTTGCACAGTGTTGAAGGAAATGAAAAAAAAAATATTTAAAAATTATACGTTGCACAGTGATTGTCATCACAGACCTACAGTCACGCTTCCCAATGGTGACACGTACGCATGAGATTGTGTGTCAGTTAGGATGGGTAAAACAGTAATTTTACCATGTTAACTAATATTATATTACACAACTTTTTATAAAAAGTCAAAAATTTATTCCAAACAACTATCTTTTTTCTCTCAATTTTTTAGTCCAAAAAGACAAAAAGTACACTTATTTAGGACACCTCAAACAAGCCCTAAATGTTCTAAATAAATATACTTTTTAACTTTTTATAAAATATGAGTTGAGTTTAAAATGATGTGTTAGAGAAGTAATGTGACTTAAATAGGATAATAAGTTTTTAACTTTTTGACTTTTTTATAAATTGCCAAACCTGGCCTAAAAGTTGATAATGAAAAATATTTATACTTTAGTTTTTAAATAATTAATTAATTTAAGTTATTAT